TTTCTTCTCTGCCAGCAAACTTTTTGTTGTCTCCATTACAGTTTCCATTCTTCTTTTTAGCCACTCCATTTTGTTATGGACAGTAGCGTACCGTAAATTGATGTTGGACACCATAATCTGCACAAAACAAATCGAACTCAATAGAGGAATACTCTTTGCCATTGTTAGTTCTCAAACTCCTCAAAGGCACTCCACTTTGAGTTTCTACCATTTTCTTAAAATTCTTGAACACTCTAAACACATCAGACTTCAATTTCAAGAAATCTATCCATACCATTCTTGTTGCATCATCAATAAACAAAAGGAAGTGTCTACTTTCATTTAGGGAAGGTGTCTTCATTAGTCCACACAAATTTGAATGAACCAATTGCAATTTCCCCTTGGCTCTCCATGTTGACAACCTAGGAAAAGGCAATCTATGTTGCTTTCCTAATTGACAACTCTCACAAACTCCATCAACAACATCTATGGTAGGTAAGTCAACCACCGTTTTCTTCTCTTCAGCCAATTAATGGAATTGAGGTTGTAGTGTCCCAACCTCTTATGCCACAGCCATGATTCATTTTCAATACTACTACTCAAGGCATAAATCTCACTAGAATTCCAATTCACCACAAAATTTATATTCTTCATAGGCACACAGATGAACTCCACACCATTGGAGTCTTTAATTTTATATACATCATTAATAAATTCCAGCACATATCCTTTTTGCATTGACCAACACCATTGGAGTCTTTAATTTTATATACATCATTAATAAATTCCAGCACATATCCTTTTTGCATTGACCAACACTTAATAAATTCTTATCTAAATTAGGTACTAAAAGGACATCAGATATCAATTTTGTACCTTTGGTTGTTGGAACAATAATAGTGTCTTTGCCTTTGGTTGGAACTCTGTCTCCATTTCCTAATCTCACCATCCCTTTCATATCATTCAAGTTAGTGAATAACTCTAATTTGCTAGTCAAGTGCTAGGTACATCCACTATCAATAAATCAAAAATCATTTTGATCCTTAGTATTCGCTAACAAGGCAGTGAACAAATACTCCTCATTCTCGCCATCCTCAGCAATGTTTGCTTGTTGTTGTTGCTAGACAGGTTGTTAGTGTGTTTGATGATTCTTCTTGCGGTAGCAATCCTTCTCAAAATGGCCCAGATGATTGTAATACCAATATGTTTTTGGTGATGTTTTCTTCTTGTACCCACACTCAACTTCCGAATGATGATGTTTCTTGCAACGATTATAATAGTAATGACCTCTTCCTTTCTTCTTGGTATCAAATTTGCCTTTCCTAGAAGTAAATCCAAGCTTACTTCCATCTCTCTGAATGTTAGGCAAAATTACCGCCTTTGACTGTAAAGCAGCCTCCAAACCACTTTCACCTCTCATCTTCCTTCTCTGTTCTTGTGCTTCAAGAGCACTCATCAATTCTGCCACTGTCACGGGCTTAACGTCCCTTGAATCCTCAAGCAATGAAATTTTGGATTCAAACTTCTCTAGCACACTCACCATAACTTTCTCCACTATCCTCACTTCGGAAAGATCTTCTCCTAAGATACTTATCTCATTTACAACCTTCATCAATTTGTCTAAATACTGTGAAACACTCTCTGTCTCCTCCATCCTCAAATTTTCAAGCTACCTTTTCAAAGTAATTATCTTCATGTTCCTTGTCTTCTCAAAACCTCTATATTACACTTTCAATATATCCCAAACTTCCTTGGCAATAGTGCAAGCCACAATCTTCACAAAGATTAGATCAGCAACAGTTGAATGTAGATATGAAAGAGCCCTTGCCCTTTTCTTACTCTCTACTTTATACAACGACAACTGAGCAACTATTGGATCCTTAGGCTCTTCAGGAAATTCTCCTCCTATTTTGGAGACTTCCCATAAATCCACAGCTTGCAAAAATCCCTTCATCTTCACCACCCATATGTGGTAAAGAACTCTTGTAAAGACAGGAACTGGAGGCAACAATGTACTTGATGATGCCATTACACAACCCAAGCTTTTCTATGATTTCTTTCGCTACTTCACATATCCCTGATTAACACTCCACTCTGATATCAATTGTTGGAATTGAAAGCAAAAATAAACAAAGTATGCACAAAAGACAGATGAACCTGTTCATTAAAAAAGAGTTTTATTCAATATGAAATACATCAAAGTCACACTATTTAATTCAATGTTACGTACTTATATAGTTTATTTTGGAGTTTAGATACTAATACATAACTGAACAACAGTTTAGAATTACTAGGAAGTTATAACTTCTTCAACGGTTGTCCAAAAAAAAACTGAATTAAAAGTCACACAACGCACACTGTGAGACACTTTTTTTGTCACTGGCAACAAACTTTTGGTTTGCTACAACGGTCATTCTCTGATCTATTTTAGAGAACATCATCGCGCTCGCTGTGGTAGCCTTTTTCCATCACAGCAGTGTGCGCTTCTCCAACCAAAATGGTTCATCTTTTAACAAAAAATATTGCTTGTTACTGTTATAGATCCAACATGTATTGAAAGAATACATTGATGTTGGATCTATAACAGTAAAAAGAAAATAATTGGTGAATTGACTCTGGATGTACCACTCATATTTCTAATACTATGTAGGGATTCCTTATGATCCAAACCATAAACGACAATGAAAGATTTGTATACATGAGAAATCGGGTCAAAGCACAAGTAGAAGCCATTGGAACCTATCATTTAATTTTAAGTATTGGAGATCATTTAGATTTGTTTAACTCTTTATGTATTAGAGTTATCCCGTAATTTAATATCTTTATCTAAACTTGATTTAGAAGGATATTCTTTTAAATTTTGGAATGGATATTTCAGGTTATTTAAATATAATTGTTTAATTGGTTCTGGTGCGCTTTGTGATAGATTATATAAACTACAGCTTTATAGTTTGTTTGCTGAGATATTGTTGACCCTACATTATAGTATAGGAACAAAGCGTGCTTTTATGGATGAGAAATCTGCTTATTTAAGGCATAAACGTTTAGGCCATATATCAAAAGAAAGAATGCAAAAGATTAGTAAAGAATGGAGTTTTATCTAATTTGGATTTTACTGATTTTGGCATTTGCGTGGATTACATTAAAGGAAAACGAACCACATCCACAGTTCATAAAGTAGGCACTAGAAGCACGGGACTCCTTAAACTAATACACACTTATATATGTGGTCTTTTAACGTACCTTTTTTTAGTGGAGAAAAATATTTCATCACTTTTATAGATGACTTTTCATGTTATGGATATGTCTATTTATTGCGTAAAAAATCTCAATCTGTTAATATCCTAGAGATATTCATTACTGAAGTTGAGAGGCAATTAGATAGAAAGGTGAAAGTAGTACGATCTGATAGAGGTGGTGAATATTATGATGAATACAATGATCTGGATAATGTCCAAGTCCATTTGACAAATTCCTAGAAAGTTGAGGCATATGTGCTTAATACGCAATGTCAGGAACACCACAACAGAGTGGTATTGCAGAAAGGCGTAATCGTACATTAATAGATATGGTTAGAAGTATGTTGAGTAACTCCTCATTACCTTCATCATTGTGATATATGCATCAAAGATTGTTGTATATTTATTAAATAGAGTTCCTAGTAAGGTAGTTCCAAAGACTCCTTTTGATCTGTGGACAGAAAGGAAGCCCATTTTGAGGAATCTACATGTTTGGGGTCACCCGACAAAAGTCAAGATTTATAATCCACATGAAAAGAAACTCAAGAACAATCAGTGGATTTTTTATTGGTTATCTAGAAAAATCTAAAGGGTATTGTTTTTACTGTCCTAGCCATAGTATGAGAATAGTTGAAACTGAAAATGTGAGATTCATTGAGAATGGTGAAACCAGTGTGAGTGTTAGACCACGTAAAGTTGATATTCAAGAAGTTAGGGTACAAGTCCCTGTGCCTATGACTTCTACTGAGGTTGTGGTTCATGTAGTTGTCAAACGTTCAAATAACAATCAAGAACAACAAATAATTGAGCAAACACTTCCTAATAATGTAATAGTCAATGAACATGTAATGGATGAGCCACATGAAGTAGTAAATGAATGACAAGAAGTGACATTAAGAAAATCTCAAAGACAAAAGAGATATGTCATTATTAATGATTATGTGGTTTGTCTTCAAGAGTCAGAATTTGACTTGGGAATGGAAGCAGGTCCAATTTCAGTTTCTCAAGCCCTTCAAAGTGATAATTTTGCAAAGTGGTTAGATGTCATGAAAGAAGAGTTAAAATCAATGGAATACAATGAAGTCTAGGATCTAGTAGTATTGCCTGAAGGCTATAGAACAGTCGGGTGTAAATGGATCTTTAAGACCAATGCAACTCTAATGGCAATATTGAATGGTACAAGGCCAAACTTGTTGCCAAAGGTTTTACTCAGAAAGATGGTGTTGATTACAATGAGACTTTTTCCCCGGTTTCCTCCAAGAACTCGTTTAGAATTATTATGGCAATGGTAGCTCATTATGATCTGGAGCTTCATCAAATAGATGTGAAAACTGTCATTTTGAATGGGAATTTAGAAGAAGAATTGTACATGAAACAACCTAATGGTTTTCCAATTAAAAGAAAGGAACACATGGTGTATAAATTAAAGAAATCAATATACGGACTTAAACAAGCTTCCAGGCAATGGTATCTCAAGTTCAATAATACCAATACCAATACCACTTTCGGATTTAAGGAAAACACTGTTGATTGGTGTATATATCTAAAGGTCAGTGGGAGTGCATTTGTAATTCTAGTCCTATATGTTGATGACATTTTGCTTGCTACTAATAATTTTGGCATGATGTATGAAACCAAGAAGTTTCTCTCTAAGAACTTTGAGATGAAGGATATGGGTGAGGCATCCTATGTGATTGGAATTGAAATTATTCGTGCTAGTTACAAGGATTGTTGGGATTGTCTCAGATTGCTTATATCAACAAAGTTTTAGAGAGATACAATATGGATAAGTGCTCTGCGAGTCCAGTTCCAATTCAGAAAGGTGATAAATTGAGCATTAAGCAATGTCCACATATTGAATTGGAACGCAAGCAAATGGAGCATATTCCTTATGCATCTATTGTCGGAAGTTTAATGTACACTCGAACATGTACCAGACCAAACATTAGTTTTGCGGTTGGCTTCCTAGGCAAATATCAGAGCAATCCTGGAATGAATCATTTGCGAGCTGCAAAAAAAGTGTTGAGATATTTACAAGGGATGAAGGAACATATGCTTACCTATAAGAGATCCGATTATCTTGAGGTGATTGGATATTTAGATTCAAATTTTGTTGGTTGTGTAGACATCAAGAAATCCACATTTGGCTACATATTTTTGTTAACTAGAAGAGCAGTTTTGTGGAAGAGTGCAAAGCAGTCTGTCATTGTTGCTTCCACTATAGAGACTGAGTTTGTGGCATGCTTTGAGGCCACAGTTCAGGGATTTTGACTGCAGAATTTTATTTCAGGGCTTGGGATTGTAGATAGTATTACCAGGCCATTGAAAATTTATTGTGATAATGCCGCAGCAGTTTTCTTCTCTAAAAACAATAAATAGTCAAAGGGTGCTAAACATATGGAGTTGAAATAATTTGCCATTAAAGAAGAAGTTCAGAAATAGAGAGTGACTATTGAGCATATCAACACCAATTTTATGATAGCAGATTCGCTAACTAAAGGGCTATCACCTAAGACCTTTAGTGAGCACGTTGAGAGGATGGGTATTATTGCCTATCATGACTGATTTATGATGTGTTGTATATGTTTCTTGATTTACATTATGCTCCTCATGTTTTAGACACTCTGGGCTCTTGATGTGTTGTTTCTAATTCATATAAATTATTCTATTGTATGTTTCTTTATATTATGTTGTTTGGTATACATGAATAATAAAGATGACTGGATTTTTCCTTAATAAGGACATTATTGTTGGACCATTAAGAATCATTATAGATTGTTCTAAGTACAAAATTTGTAATGTGATACATGGAAAGGGACTATGTTGATTCAATGACATACAACTGCCATGATCCTTATGGGTTCTTACTCAATAATGTTTATATGCTGACCATTTTAAGATATGGCCTTTAGCAAATTATTATTGTGTACACATTATGTATTATTTCTTAAATATAAAGTTATATAGTATTACATGGACCAAGTGGTAGAATGTTAGAAATACTTTAATTCACATAAGGTGGTCCATGGTTGTTTTGAAATAATTAAATTGGCTAAGGGGCATGATGGTCATTTAACCTTGATGGAGAGGTTACTGTCTTCTCTCTCTGTTCCTTACGTGAGTTTTCTTTTTCCATCAAAAGAAATAAGTAATTGACAGAAAGGGAAAATGAGAGAGATACACTATCTTCTTTCACATTTCATCAAGAAACTACTCATGGAACTAGGTATGTATTACTTCTTTCATAAACAGTGAAAATTCATCAAGTTTCATATTCTAAGATTTATGCTTATGCGACTTAGGGTATAGAATGATAAAAATATGATTATATTATTGATTTTTTGCCATTGATGAAATTGTAATTAAGTTTTACAACATATATATGCAGAAACTCGGAAATCATTAGGACCGTCTACACTAGATACATAGGCTACCATGTTTAGAAGCATATACTTTGTAGAATCATCGATGTAATGTGATGGAAGTTTCAGAGTTCTGATGAGATACCCCGATTTAAAATCAACGTCTGTCAATAGACTAGTCTTGCTAGGCCTGAAACAGAATTTCATAGCCTTAAGCTCCTTGGCTAACCGATATGAAAACCAATCAGAGCAATCGCGTGGAGGCGGTTCAGTCAAAACGGATTTATCAAAGAGATTGGAATGCACAAGATCAAGAATATGAGCAGGTTCGCCATCAAATATTCCTGTTGTCCTCTTCACATCTTGTGCAGATTTTCTTCCTCCAAAAGCTAAATCAGAAAGAAATTTTTTACTGTTATCTTTCCAACTTTCCGTGGAAGGAGGAACACAACAAATTTGTGTAGCACACTGATTGAAAATTATTGTCTTTTTGTTTTCATCTCTGAACTTGAAGCTCAATTCATTGAGGACAGGGAAAGGAATTTGATTTTCTATTAAGAACAAGTCTCATTGAACGAGAGCTATCATGTTGTTTTTCATCTTCAAAGCATCTCTTTTTCTTTCTACAATGCAACAGATGAATTGGAGAATGAAGCAGGCATTAAGAACCATCATCTGAGCAAAATCCTCATTGTTGAACTTGGCTACTGAACTCTGATAAGTGTAGAGTTGTGAAATCCGCAAGTGTACGGACTCATGCAAGTAATAAAACTCAAGTAACGAGTGTCGAATCCTAAGAGAATTACTACTACCAAGTACCACACTAACCTATCTTATTGCTATCTGATTTATCATATTTTCAGAATGATTCAATGAAAAATAAAACAAACCAGAAACAAAACAAAAATAGAAGTTTATTAATACTTTGGTAGGAAATTAATATGACTAAACCTAAGGCATAGATTTAACACCAATTTAATCCTATGCATTGACAAATATTGTTAACCCAATTAAGTTTATTCTAAAGGCCAAACTTCCTAATATTTCGCTAACTTTCTCTCGAATAACTAACAAATTAACTCCTAATTACTAACCCGAATTATCTCTTATCAGATTTAAGTAATTGGAGATCATTAAGTTCTATGGAATTTATCAGAGCCTCACAAATAGAGTTCGATCAATCTATGGTTTTATTACCTTAGACTAATTAGTTTCATCTCTCGATCTCAACCAAATGAATAAAATCATTCAACTCTTTGGCCCTTAAGAATTGAAAGCATTACACACAATAATAAAACTTAAAATTAATGCTCAATTAAAATTAACAACAATAACATCAATACATATTCATAATTTAGGCTATATCTTTAGCTCTAGAAAAGGAATTTAGATCATAATTACAGTAATAAAAACAACAATTATAGTAACAAACATGAGTTCAAGAAAAAAAAAATAGAAAAACTTTTCTAATTGGTGAACAAGAATTGAAAGAATTCTTATCTCCAAAATAGTAACCACTCTTTCTCCTTCTCTAATCCCCCTGAAAAGTAATTAAAGCCCCTTATTTATAATGCTAGGGTTTGAAGGTTAATCAGGAAAGAATTAAATGTCTTAAACCATTCAGATTCAGACTAAGAAAATACAATAAACCAAACAGGCCCGTGATCCATCGTTGCGGCGACAGAAATGATCATTGCGGTGATAGTTCTTTCTGTCCCACAAGTCTGTAATCTTCAGAATTTAAAAAATTCATAAACATAAACTTTGTAGCTCTCTGAATAAGCTTGCCAACACCATAAGAATCATCGAATTCAGATTTCTACAACTCAAGTTATAATAAAAACATCGAAGCATGCTCATCTTGACAAATTTCTAGGTTTTACGTCTCATCTTCAACGCATCACAACTTTCTTTTTTCAACTCTGATTCTTCCACCATTTGTTCCTACTCGTCACAAATTCCGTCAAAATCATTATTCTTCATTCAAATATCGTTTTTAATCTGAAAATACTCAAAACACACCTATGATCTCATAAAAGGTATTTTTGAAATAATTAACTCAAATTTCACATTAAAAACATATTTTTCCACAAATAATCCAACTGAATCACTAACAAAATATGTGTTTTCAAGTTGTTATCATGTAGCACTCTCTTGCATCCTTGGCCAAGCGCCTGACCTTCCAATACAACTCTTCAAGCAACTGTAAGCTCCCATACTCATACTGGCAAGCATTAAATGTTTGTGCTGCTGCATTAACTCAAGCTCAGGATTACCATGGTCATAAGGACCAATTGAAATCACTATAGGTTCATAGCAGCCACAGTTTTCGTTAACCCCGCGAAGCATCTCGGTAACTTTCTCTATCATTGACCACCTTCCTCTTTGTTTAATCACCTCCTGCTGATTCTTGCAGCTTCCACCTTTCACGACAGATTCAATCCACCTTTTTCACCCTCAGAAACAAGAACAACACTCTCAGTAGCGGGAGCTGGTGTATTAGCATTATTTTTTTGGATAACAATACCTCTAATTGAGTCTCACCACCGGCTAGACTGCTGGAACTGCCTCTAGCGTCTCTTTCTCCCATTATTACTCTCTGCAATTGAAACGACACAAGTATGGCTTGGTTATGTGAGTTAATGCAAATTAGTTAAGCAAATCCTGATCCTATAAATTTGATTTGATGAAACCAATTGTAAAAGTAATGGGCTACATGTGTGGAGCAAGTATCTCAACTTTCTTAATTATGAAACTTAGAATTGTTGTTGTTGCTACCTATTTAAAGGTGCCATCACTTGTCTGTCTTAGAAAGTGAGAGTAAGAAGAAGATAACAGAGTCTGCGAAATTGCGTTCTATGTTCTATGATTACTTTCGAATATATTTGACAAGGTGAAGGTCCCCATCACAAGAACAATATTTACATCTTTTTATAAACAAGTTAAGCAAGTAATCTAAAGCTGGTATTTTTCTTAGGTGTATTACTCAAAAGGTTTTAAGTTCGAATCTCTTCTCGATTGCTAATAGGGATAGGCATTGAAGCTCTTATCCGACCGATAATTTCAAAGTGTCAAGAGATTAGTTAAGGTGCATATAAGTTAACCCGAACACTCTTAGTCATTTAAAAAAAATAAAAAAATAAAACTAAAATAAAAAAAGCTGGTATTTTTCTATGTATTTTCAATTGCATTTAAAGCAAAAAGTAGTATAATCATGCAACATTTCACTGCTGGTAGAATGGTTGTAGCCATCCATCTGGGTAACTAATTTTTACCTAGTTACTACATGTCATAAATCATTTATAAAGAACAAGAAAAGTTTGAAGATACTTTTCATTCTCGTTTAAACAAATTTAGCTACAAAGTCACTCTTTATCTTCAAATCTAACATAGAAGTTGTAAGATGCTGCCTTACAAGATATTGACACCTAAAGTAAAAATATGTCACATTTACTAATCTTATGTTCTTCTGTCACAAGTTTCATCTTCAATACCAAAACCTTACCCTCAAGCATTCTGACCTTACTCCTGAAAACAAAATATCTAACTAGGTTCTCTTTTCTGAGTCATGTAACATGTGGGTTGGAGAATCAAGCTGGGGGCAGTCCAAAGGCAATGCCAACTCAAAGCGAGGGAAAAAGCAAAGTTTTTGTATTCGCTCCATAATTGCACATCTTTAACTCACGTTGGGCCCAATGTGGCTTTTTCAAAGTTTTGTATAAGCCTTTTATTTTCAAAGGCTCTTATTATAATGTTAAAATATTTTTGTATAATATGACTTTAAGTTAGTAAATATTTACTACAAAGATTAGTTAATATAAGTAGATCTTATATCTTTCTTTTTATTTTTTCATTTCATACATTTATATCTTTAAGATTGAAAGAAAGATTTTAAAAAATCAAATCATA